TTACTCTAAAACCTGAGTCATATTTAAATTTCCATCAATAAATCTTTCACATAGAACCCATGATTAAAATGTTAGAACGTCAGAATATCTCTAAAGACTAATGATGAGTAAAAATTATAATGTTATCAGTCGATCTTTATATTAGCTTTCATAAATACCAATATAGAATTTTTTTAGTTTCTGCATCCAACCCTTAATAATATGAATTATCCATAAAATCAGGTGACCCCTTTCGAAATATTATGCTAGAAACTTATGATCCCCCGCACTCACCCTGAAGACTTGGAATGATGAGCATCAATGTAATCAATCGATCTCCTTTACAGCTTTACTCATTTCAATATAATATATATTACCAATGCCCACTGAAGAGATGAATATCAATGAAATCAATTGATCTTTTTACTTTCATTTGATACCCATGTTGACAAGATACCACATTAAAAACAATTCATTTGATTAACTTTAATTTGTTAAAATACTTTAATTTAAAAAAATTCTTAGCGGATTCTCATATATATGAAAAGCATATCAATAAAGAGTAAAAACGTATTATGCAAACACTCATCATTAATTTTCTTTAATTGTTTTATTTAGTGTTTGTTATTTTATGTTTTATATATGGTGATGTAATCAAAATTTCTATCTTTTTGCTGTTTTCTATTTTGATCATATTATTACCTTATACATGATGTTAAGTTATATAACTCATTATTAGAAGTTGGTAGGCATAGGGTTAGGAGAATTTATTGAATCATTTTCAAGATCGCAATATTTCAAAATGAATATATGAATTTTGGCCAGTCAATGCATGGCCAGACAATACTCACCTATCTATAATTTTTAAGCGCCTTTATATGTCTATTAAATAAAATTTTAAAGTCTAATTTTTTGTATGAATGATGCTAAGGGCATAAGGATAATATTTATATAAAATATCCGTAATCTAAGTAATTTTTTCACCAAACAAAGTGTAACATATTTTTCACGAAAGAGATACTAAAAACAGTTTATTTAAAATATTTTTTTAATGGATTGCTCTATTAATAAATAAACTTAGGTAAGATACATATCATAAATATACACATTTTGACCAATTTTGAGAGAAATTGGTTCAATAGATAAAAGTTAAAGGGTTTTGGCTAGTCTTCAAACATTTTATGGCACATTTTCCCTATCCCTTGAAATTCTCTTCAATATAATGACACTTATCTTTTTGTAGAATTAAAACTGGCATGCTTAATTGAACAGAATTAAAAAAAACCTAAAACCAAGGATTTATACTGAATTTCACATATATATTTTTTTAAATAAAAGTCTATTGCAAAGTAAAAATTTTGATTATCTAAGAATTTTTCCATTTAAATTTCTCAGAAAAAAAATATTAAATCACTCAGAAATTTTTGTTATTAAAGTATTTTATTTTTTCAAATTAAAAGTTAATCAAATGAATTGTCAGGCTATTATTACTATATGCTCTTACTGAGTACAATAAATTTATATCCTCACGTTTAGGTGATTGGTTGGGGAGGGGGATACAACTTATTAATATAATATCTTGATATGAGTAACAAATGAAAGCTAATAAAAAAATAAATGGATTTGATTAGGTGGAGTGAATTTTTTTAACATAATACTTATGGCTGTTGAACCGCGCGAAACCGCCAATAGATTTCTGCTAATTTTTTACTGAATTATGCCGTTCAGGTTGAGACCTGATGGAGAGCTGGTGAATTACATTTACGGTTAGCTTAGGGCTATGCAACAAATATAAGGGTCTGGCGTTTAAATTAGGTGATGAGAAATAGTATTTTTATACCAAACCCACCACAAAATCCAACAAAAAAAGAAAAAAAATAATATTATTCGAAAATGTGAAAAATATAAATTAAATACTTGAATAAATTTATTTGAAAACTGTGCATTCAATTATTAGAAAACTGCAAAACTAATAATTTAAAACTAATTTCAATTATACTACTGGGCAGTATCAATATGATATCCATATAAAAAAAATCTTTCAATAAAAGGAAGACTAAATTTTTTATGTTTAGCATTCTACCATTAATTGAGAGTATATCTTCTATTTCTGGGTGAGATACTATGAGCTACAATCTTTAACATTTTTTTACTGTTTCAGATCTAAAATGCCCATGTTATTTAAATCGAAGGTATTAGAATGTAATTAGTTTTACAAAAAAAATATATTTATTTCATTATTTTCGTTTGGATAATGGAATCTGAAAAGGAATAGCTGGAGTCATAAACGCTGTATGTAATCCCAAATTCTCTGCCTTCCTTGAACAGTATAATTATTTAATGTGGTATAGTTTTCAGGGTGAGATGAGCCCCAAGTGGTTCTAACAGCGTAGATAAAAAAAATGATAATATTTTATTGAGAATCTTTCAGAATAAGTATTATTTGTGGCATATCTGGCACACTTCATTCTTTACTAAATTTGTAAAGGAGATAGATGGTTTGCCAATAGACTGTGATACGCTTTACAAATTACAGGGTAAAGGTTTATATTTAATGCGAACAAGGAATAATTTTTGGTTTTATGATAATCACACTTAATTTTTGTTTAAAAGAGTAAAGTAATGTTGTACAGCTAAATCTGAGTCGATTTTTAAAAACGGCTAACTCAATATTATGGCCAGAATAATATTGCGTTGGTCTCGAGATTTCGCTAATAGATGTCCAAAACTTTGTGCCGTCTGCGGGAAAAATATTCAGGCTTACGTAATATTTTTCTGGATAAAATAATGAGTTAGCCGTTTTTAAAAAACAAGCCGTTTAACAACACTGAGAAAATGTAATCCATTTTTTTGATGGCAAATGATAAAAATGATATCGCGACAAAACTCTAATATATAAATTACACATCTCCGTTGCTGATGATAAACAACTTCAAAATAAATCTAGCATTAAACTATTGGTTTATCTACCCCAAATTTATAAGGTTAAAGATCGCCCAATAAATAAAATGCATACTTTTGGGTTTTATTAATTTTAAATATTTCCATGTGCAAAAAAATGGAAATCTCCCAGGATAATTTTTAAAAAAAACAAAAAATAAGGGTCAAAAAAGAGTGCGATGATAACATAATTGATTCGAAAATGATGTAATATTTATAGATTTCGGAGATTATAAATAAATAATACTATATTTTGTTATTATTATGTCCATGCATCGTAATTAGGGTGGCTACCCTTTTGATATATAGGTTGGGTTCGGTTCATGTTTCAAGAATAAAACATTTCGATAATTATCAGATATTTATATAGGGTATTCATAATATAGCTTCAAATAATTTTAATCCTCTTTCATATGATATCTAATATATATAATCTCCATAATCACATGATGATCGTTTTCGTATCTCCGTAATGTATTTAAAATCTAAGGAGACTATATAGTGTAATGTTAATTTTTTTTTTAAATTTTTTTTTGCCATCCCCGGGATTCGAACTAAATTTAATATTAATTATATATTTATATTAAAGTTTCACGCATGCACCAACTTGAATATAATAATATTTAAAATATTAATTATATAGATGTTGAAGGGTAATTATTTAGTTTGTATGTATGGTATTAAATATACTTTATTAATAAATTTTATATAAATATTAAAATTTAAGAGTAAAAGAGGTAAAATTGTTGCAATGTATACTGTGAGTATGTATTGGAAATATCAAAATTTAAAATGGTTTGTTTAAAATTTAAATTAGAATGAACATATTTTCAGAATGGTACTTTAATATGTATTCATGAATTTTATATAAATACCAGGAGCTCACCAGTAGAATCATAGGTAAATCAGAAATTTACTCTTCATTTGATTATAATTTTGAATTTAGACAGATTTAATTCTTATAAGCCCCTTACATCAGACCTATTATTCTGGATCAAATATATTTGGGTTTTCCTGGGCTTGGGAAATATTTTTCACCATTAATATGGACTTGCATATAGCTTGAGAAACATTTTTCATAATTATTATAGTCTAAGATTCCTGTAAATTTTTTAATTTTAAATATGGGCTAGAAATTGGCCTGAAAATTTCTTTTGAAGACATGACAAGGCCTGATCAAAAACCAAGGTCCATGCAACTTTCATATTCTGATTGTATTTTTAAATGCATTGTGACTTTTTATATATTTTATTTCAGTCCTCAACTATCAAAATTATTATGGTCTTTTGCGGGTTTGAGAAAACCAAGTGCGAGGACCTGGCTTGGGAATTTTTTAATATTAGGCATAGGTGTATTATTTAACACAGAATAATTATATGGCCCTCAGGTAAAACAGACATTGGCCCAAAATAAATTTTTTTGCAGGCCTGGGCTTGACCTGATTAAAAAACCAAGGCCCATGAAAATCTGAATTTTGATTGTATTTTTAAATTCATTAAGATTATTTAAATATTTTATTTCAGTTCTTAACTACCAAAATTATTATGATATTTCATTGGGCTTGGAAGAATTTTTCATAATTAATATGGCTTTGAACTTTACCTGGGAATTTTTTTTAATTTAAAATATTAGGTATAAGTAATCACTAATATTTAACAAATAATATTGGTATTATCAAGTAAATGCTTTAAATTTATTTTTACTCAAACCATAGCACTTAGTTTTAATGGATTATACCTGGCTTGAGGGGGTAGGAAGAATAAAAATTGGATATTATTTTCAAATAACAGGTAACATGCAAAAAAGTAAGAAGAAAATTTTCATTCCCAGTCATTTTTGACGGGCTATTTACTAGTTAAATATAAAAGGGTAAAATACATCATAAAGTTTACCCGATTTTTTAAATATTAGTTTATGTTTCTTTACAAAATTATGGTTACAACGTATGATTAAAATATCGTCTAATATTTCGTCCAATCTTGTTCTATATGGTAATGGAATATATTTCGATCCTGCCGCAAAACCTTTGAATTACTCATATTTTATATTAATTTTTCATATAAATGAAAAAATAAACAAAGATTTCCGACAAAGTTATCTAAAATTCACAGTGTGTGTGTACTCTCCAAGTGCTGGAATATATTTCTGATCAAATCTAATGGTTTAAAGATAGATTATGAATTCACGTAAATTCCACACCAAAAGGATATATATGAGATGATGATAATTTAAAAAAAATATATGTTATTAATTCTTTTACATTACACCATTTAATATCAATAATATTTAAACCTATAACAATCTATTTTATAGTTTTAGGCTTTTGTTATTAAAATGAAATAAAAATTTACTGATTATACTTTATGTAAAAAAAATTGTCACAAAAAAATATTAGAAATTTTCTATATATTTTTTGCAAGACCGTGTTCGGTCTGGCTGGCTTAAAAAAATGTAAACAAGAGCCCAGCTCAGATTATGTAAAATTTTAGGCTCAAGATCAAGGACTCAGGCCAGGATTCGAACCTACTTGCATGTCACTAGAATAGGATTTCGATTTAGATTCTCGAAGTATTTTTTTAAAGTTTAGGCTAGATACGAGCTTAGACAAATTTCTTTGAACTTTGGTTGAGGTATCTGGGATCGACCAAGAACAAAATCAATATTTGTAATTTTCAAATAGTGTATAATTTTAAACGTTTTAACTTATCCCAATCATATAAAAATTGGCATCAATGAAATAAAAATATGTTTTTTATTTTTAATATATAATGTTGAAACGTTAACCTTGATTTCTTTACCAAAATTTAAAGTTAATAAGAAAAATATCATATTACACAAATTCGATTCACATAACCTTATAACAAATTGTCAAGGCAAGTACATCTAAATGTAACCTTCAATGTTAAAATTTGATATAGATGTAAATATATCAAATTATACCATTTAAGGTTGGAAAAATTCCAATTATAACAAAATTTTAGAAAGGTATGTCGAGTTTTATTTCAATATAAAAAGGCTTAAATTTAATATTGGTTATATTAAACATTTTTTTTGATCACTAAATTTCAATCATATAATGTGCTCAAGTTTTCTAGTAACCCTTTATATTTATTAGATGCAGACTATTAATAACAATTTTTATAGGGCCTTATTATTTTGTTGACTTTTGCGACCAACTATGGATTGGGTTTCACCTATGGTAAGAAAAATAAATATTTTCATTGATATATTCATAAAAATTAATATAATTTCTTTTTCCTAAAAAGATTTAACGGAGATGTAGAATAAATTAAACTTTACTTAATCAATTTGTCCCAACATAATATTAGACTAGGTAAGCGAAGTTTTCTAAGTATAAAAAAATCTTATTATAAATATTTTACTTATAAATCAGTAGTTTTATTATTGTAACTTATTGAGAGTGTAAATAAAATTAATGATATGATTGTAGTTAAGAAAAATAAAAAATGTATGTTGTACTATAGTTCTACAGGGATCAATAACAAAATATTAGAGTACTTTATAAGACTTCTATATAAACAAAAAGGTTATTTTACAATTTTGAAATATTAGGTGTTCCCAGTGTTGGCCGTAAACTATTGCAAGACTGTTTATTGTCCGGTGGAAGAGATAATATATATTTAAATGAAGAAATACCCCAATCTAAACCTATATTATTCAAGCACAGTAAAACTAAACAAAATAAAATATTTTAAATATTATTTAAAATACAATTTTAAAATAATTGCCCTCGATCCGAAGCGCATATTATCAGATTTTACGAGATCTAATAAAAATCTGAAAATGATGATCAGTAAAAATAAGAAACACATGAATCAGTTGCTAGTGCTGCATAATTTAATATAATATAATATCATTATATAATATTTACTAATTATTTTTTTATATATTAAGAGATTCCTACGGACGTACAATTTTTTTCAGTCAGAAAACCAAGTAGGAAATCTGTGTGCAGTTTTGAAATGCTTTTTCATCTACCACCCTTATATGTGATAGGTAAATACATATTTTATGACTTAATCCCTATTGAAAGAAAGGTGTAAGAATTCCAACCACTCCTGTTATAGTTTCTACCAACAATTTGACGGTAGAATATGATAGGAAAGGACTAACCGTAGTTGTACAAAGAGTATTACCCGATATCGGAGGCTATAGAAGATTTAAATTTTATGTTAGAAATTTAGCGAATTCGAGAATTCTTAGTATAGTCTTTGAGGTTAATTAATTAGTATTAATATGTATGCTTAAAAATTAAATTGTGTTTCAAAATATCAACTTAAATATTTTTGTTAAATAGTTCAGATTGTGAATATAAACAACATTTTTGAATTTCTAAATTTAATTTCTTTAATTTTTCATAACTTTTCTATAAGTAATCAATAAATTAATGAAATGATAATAAATATTGTAATAGAAAGGATTAATAGTAGGCTGTTGATAATACTTTAAAAATCTATCAAAACACATCGAACTAAATCCAGAAGGTCTCGATACAGATAAGAATATATTAATAACATTTTATTAAACACTATGCATTATAAAAACAATCAATTTGCAATAAATAATTTTTCTTGTTTTATAATTATCTAACATTATTAACAAATACATTTTGATTCCTAGAAAAAAAATCACTTAAAAATGTGCTAGAATCTTGGACATGCTGGAATTTTATAGGTTTCATCATTGGTCAATATTACCGATTTAATTTAGAATACAATTATATTACACTTTTAATTTTAATATTATTTTATTTCATATATCATTATCATAGCATCTCTTATAGTAAATATACCACTTTATATATAATTCCATTTGATGGATGTTATATACATTTAACTTTAATCAAAATGTAAAATGACATTTTTAGTTAATAGAATCTAAAATGATAAAAATAATATAAAAAGTTAATGGAGAACCTAGATGTTAATAAGAGGAACAATTTTATTGTTTTAAAAAAAGTAATAAATAATTTAAACTAATAAAAAAAAATAACAATCTTAAAACTTTAAAGTAGAATAAGATAAAAGTTAAATAAGCGAATGATTTATATAATATCTCGAAGGTAAATCAATTATACCAACAAAATGAAACCAGTTTTTTGTCTGGAAAGTGCCAACAGATGCATGTCATGTCAGCAAAATTTCACTTACATACAAGTATTCTTTTTTTTAGAACACCTAAATTTCTTCATTAACGGTAAAAGATTTTATGTGAAATATAAAATTTCAAAAAATCTATAATCTAATTCTTTAAATCCCATTAAAACTTTGAATGCTTTTATGATGGGAGTCACAAATTGTTCCATCGTCAAGATACAAATATTTAAATCCAAATTAAATTTAGATTTCAGATTATGGACGAGATATCATGAATACCAAGGCAGAATAGTAGAGATCCAAGTGAGTCTCCCTGTTGAATGCGTTCATCAAAGTCTATTAAATTTGTTAATAGAGAGTAATGAAATTAATAAAGAAAAAATATTATTTTTTAAAAAAAAACCTATTACAGTATAATCAAAAACTTAACAAAATAAATTGAATAATTGATTTATGAATATTTATATGAAAAAGTTAAAGCTGAAAGAAAATATTAAGAATGATGTCTACCATAAAGTTTTAAAATAATCATAAGGAATTCTCGTAATAAAATTAATTTTGATGCCATAAGAATATTTACATGGAGGCGTGGATGTAAATTAAAATAAAATATATTCTATATAATAATCAAAACTAGGAAAAGTTATACCAGTTTAGATAAAAGCGAATTTATTTTGACATGATTCCTTTTTTTTAAAGCTTACCAATCTTTTCATAATGTCGGGTTTATTTAGATAATTATATGATTAGCTAAATATATAAAAAAAAAATTACTAGTCATACATATAAAGTTGTTGCTGAACTTTAAAATAACCAGCTGTCTACAAAAATTCCCAAATATTTTTCGGAAAACTTTCTACATATTTTTAAATAATAAACTTCTAAAAAAATGCCATAGGAAGTTTTTGTATTCATGTTTATTGATATAAAAAATATTAATTGAATTTACAAATCATTTAATTTTACATCTTAGAAATTGAAAAATTTTAATAGAATCCTCTATTATATATAATTACCATGATGTGTTTAGACACAATTTTCTTATATTATTACCATAATGTATTTAAACAGAATTTTCTATTATATATTATTAGAAAAAGTCATAATTTTATTTTATTTTTTATAAATTACATTTAATTATCATTTCAAACCAAAAAAAAACTCCTTATATATTTTATGACAATAAAAAAATAACCAATTATGTGAAATACAAATTGATATCAAAAAAAATGTAACGTTAAAATGATACAAAAAAATGTTAATATAAAATTTTCACCGAAAGGGATAATCAGATTATTTAACATTCCACCCTCCAAAAAAAATTGGGCTTATAATTTCCTTGAATAAGTTGAGTGGTAACGCTATTGACGTTCATGAGGTAATCTTCCAGATGTTTTGGTATTTGTTTGAGCCTGACTAGTCGAGAGCATTCCTTATAACTGGATTCATTGATTCTTTCATATTGCTCCTTTCTCTTATGTAGATAGAACCAATAGGATATCCGTCATTTTGCCTATCGATTGAAGATGATGTTAGTGAGTCCTTGTCCTTAATCGTGGCTTCAGGAACATCATTCAAGAATCTCATTTTAATCTGATCCAGATGTCTCCTGATTTTAGCACACCCCGTGTATATTTTGAATATCATATTACCTTCTTTGTCAGTGACCATGCACTTATGCCATTTGTTGTCTTTAAACGTTTTGTACCACACTTTGTCACCTATTCTTGCAGGTGATAATTTTCTCTAATGAGTTGTTGCTCATTTTTATTGGTTTTAGCAAATCCCAGGCAGTTCTTGTTGTATGCAGGAATAATCTCTTGCTAGGTGCAGCACCCGTTTCAGCATTAGGTGTGTTCCGATAGTAGAACAAAAACCTTTCTAGTGCGATCTTCTCGTATATTTTTTATTTTTCAGACTACTTTTCATGTGTGTTTTGAAGGTTCTAATCATCCTCGTCACCAGCCCATTGGATTGCTGGTGATATGATGACGTTCGAGTGTGCTTAATCTCATGGTCTTTGCAAAACTTTTCAAACAACTTGCTGGTAAAGTTGGTGCCGATTATATGCAACGATTTGTTCAGGTATCCCGAACAAGCTTATATTTCTCATCAGTTCGATGACAGTCTGTTCAGTCGTTATGGAATTCATCGATTTAATGATGGGGAACTTGTTGTATGCATCGACCATTTCGAACCATTATTTTTTCAGAAACGGTCCTGCGAAATCTAAATGCATTCTTTCAAAAGGTTTATTAAAGGCAGTCCAAGCATGTTGTATTTTTTTTGGATTATCTCCCCAAGCATTGCATGACTCGCAATTTCTAACGTCATTATCTATGTCGATGTTAATTCCAGGCCACCAGATGTAGTTTCTGGCAAAAAGTTTTGTCCTATGAGCCCCCAAATGTCCTCTATGCAACTCCTGCAGCATAAGTTTTCTCATGTTGAATGGTATGATCACTCTATGCTTATTTTCCATGAACCTGTAAGTTTTGTTTTGTATGACTTCATCTTTTCTTATTAACTGATGACGTCCATAATTTCTTTATCGTTCTAAGTCTCAGCAGATACTTTCCCGAACTTAATCGGTATGTCCAATAGCTCCTTGCATGGCTCGTCATCTTGCATCACGTGCATATCTTTGTTGTCAGCAGCCAAAGGAAATCTGGACAGACAGTCTGGTATTACGTTGAGCTTGTCGGACTGTGGATTATGTAGTCATAAGCCCCCATCGCAATATTCCATTTTTGGATCTCATTTACCTGGCAGTGTTATCTTTCAATCCTTTGGTGAAGATATAAATCAGAAACTTGTGATCTGTTATTATCGTGAACCTCGTTCCAATAAGATATTCTTGGAACCTCTTCATGGCAATAATTATTGCTAATGCTTCTCTTTCTATGTTTGTATAGTTGATCTCACCGTTACGTTGTACGCGTCATATCTGGTGTCGTAGACCCCCAGATTGTACACTTCAAGATACTGAAGATTATATTCTTTAAGGTCTGTGTTTAGGTCGTCGTCATCATCGATTACTTCGATGTTCATAGCATGGTTCGTATTTAAGTGACAATCACGATATTGTAATCAGAAGATCTGTTGTAGGTATTATTGTCATTTTTGTACTGGTTGGGCCTCGACGAATATTTCGGAAAACCATTAATATTTTGAGGGTTGTGTCTGTGCTGACCACGACGGGGATAGTTGGTTTAGTTCTCATCCCGTCGATCAGGGCTGATGATGGTCACAATGATAGTCGTGGCGATTGCCATGGACGTTGTACCCGCTATTGTTGTATCGATCGTCGTAGTTGCGATTGTCAAAACGGTTGCGGTTATAGTGACAATTATCGTAACTATGATCAAAACGATTGTCGTGGAAATTGCCGTGCCGTCCGTCGAATCGTTTGTAGCGGCCATTGTCGTAGCGTATCCGGTAACGTTTATCAAATCGTTTGTCGCGGCAATAGTCGCAACGTACATCGTAACGTTCATCGAAATGTTGTCCGTGGCGATTGTCATTGATGAAATGGTGTTGCTTGATAAGAGATTTACCATGTGCATGAGAGTCCTGAATTAGTTTTGTGGTTACATAGCTATTTTTGACTCTGCCCATGTGATTAACCTCTTGTACTTTAGGTGATTTATTCAAATTAATGGCTTCAACTTTCATCACGCCCTTGATGTCATTTGGCTCCGTGATGTCTTCCTCTAGACCTAGATTGTAAATGTCTTCTATAGTCATAGAGCTCCTGACCGCTCTCCTGACATCTTTGGAATTTGAAGCAACTCTTACTTTCTCAATATTGCGCTAACTGTAATTGAATTTGCATTCTTATGTGAGTCATGCTAGGCGTGTGACACAAGCCGATATCGTCTCATCCTTGTCTAGAGTGGCAGCATAAAATAATTAGAGTTTGGCGTCTCAGTCTTAGACGGATGTTGTAGCTTGAATTTACCAAGCAGAGCGATTGGATCCTGGAAGTCTGCCTCCGTGCAATTTGTTCCAATGTTATTGAATTCGTCATCTGGAAACTTTGGAGAAACAACGCGGCCTTTTCTCCGTTAGAGATCTTGCTGGTGTCGAAGAAATTCTGCAATTTCCCTATGTGAGCGCTGTCATCGCT